CCCCAAAATAGGCCGGAAACCCCTAGACCCTAAAATATACCAATAAAACTCAAAAAGATCAACAAAACCCAATAAACCCCCCCAAATTAAGCCCCGGAGGCTCCCAAAACGACCCCGAGAACTCCCAAAAATACGTCCAATTAAAGACCGGGAAACCCGGGAATTAGCCCCAAAATAGGCCCCGAAAGGCCACAAAATAGGCCCCAGCGAGAGGCCCCAAAATATGCCCCGGCTGGGGAGGGTAAGCCCCCGGGCCCAGGCCTAGGCTCCAAATCAGGCCCCCGGGCCTCCCGCGCCCCTCCCACCCAGCCGGCCCACTGGGCCCCACAAAAAAGTACAACAATAGGATCCAAAGTCGAAACGTTTCGGTCAAAACGTTATTGGGACCCAAACCCTATACGATTTCTATAAACCCTAAACCCTAAGGGCCTACCGAGAACCGCCAAACACGGCTTGCAACGACATCCGGCAGGTGACGATTCTTGAGGTTGGCAGAAAAGACAGCATTCTCTTTAGATCTGGCAAATTTGCACTTTAGCTCAGCCACTAGACTCGACAACGCATCGCCTTCTTGAGCAAACGCCGGCAAAACAACCATCACGGTTACAACTGGGCCTGTCCGATGAAAAACCACGGCGCGCAAGACAACAAATCTTTGATACTGGTTCCAGAACTCCCGAAACTCCAATTGGCTACTCACTCAGTGACAGTCTGTCCAGTAAAGAATACGACTGTACGACGTACATGTCTGTGACGTGGAATTGCAGGAGGTGTTGCAGCTTCCGCACTTTCTTCCGCGTGGTTCCAGCTGAGCAGCTCTCTTAGGCGGCCGATAAATACAGTTAGAATTGAGGTTTTCAGTACCCTGAACCTCCAAGTGGGGAAAAAGAAATCATGGCGGCCGCTTGCCAGAAGCAGGTAAGCCAAGTTCTCTCGACTTCGCGAGATGTACAAGTGCCCCCACATCCGGTATTGAGTGTTACACGGACAAGCGTCGCGGACGACAAACTCTGAAAGAATCTTTCGCACAGCCTACTTACTCTCACAGGCCGCTGTGCAGAATCACACCGTGAGATTGGCCCTAATTCGTAGTTGCTGAGTTCATAGTCCCCCAAAAAGTGTACACTTTCAGTTTTATAGGGGATTATAGTATCCCAAAAGTGTAAAGTGTGCTCACTCAGCTACTAAGAATTCGGCACTTCTCCCGGACCAGCTCCAGAACCGCAAGTCTCTCGGGAGCATGCGGCGACTGCCAGCGAATGCTAGCACCAGCACAGCAAAAAGTGCAAGTAAGCCGGCTTCCGTCGAGACAGGAGAAAAAACACTTGTATTACCGTGCACATCAGGCTTCCGGCCAGTAAATCTTTCATTCAGGCCCCAGTATCGTGTTGGATTTTGTGTTGCATAAAGGTCATGCGCTTGCTGAATGGTCGGTGGACTGCTGACATACTTGCGACACTCTTCATCAAAGTCCGTTGCGTAGTCGGTGCCCATCATCTTCAACGGAACGGAAGAGTTGCCAAGGACCTGATCTCGAATATGCTGCACATGTCGGAGAAGCCGAGTGATGCTCTTCACCTTGACCAGGTAAGCGTGAGCACCCGCAACCCGCAAATCGAGTTGGACCACGCACCAGAGCCTTTTTGCACACCTGCCATGTCAACAGCCTTCTGAATCCTGGCAAAATCCTTGTAGTCTTCACTTCCTTTCTTGCAGGGCTGAGTCAAGTTGCCATCAGTGTAGCACAGGAGATAATAACCCAACATTACCATGTCAGCGTCTTTGGGAACCTTGTGGAGCCATTCCAGACGCTGCTCCAACTTGCTTGGAATCCGGGCATCATCCTCTAGAATCAAAGCAAAGGGAGAGGCTGGTGGGGCATTCAAGATGTGCTCCCACAGGCGCAGGTGGCTCGCTTCAGCGGCCAGCACAGCCTTGAGCGCTTCTATGTATTTCGAACCCGCTCAGGCAGCCGAGGGTCTCGGCCACCCTTGAAAGGTTCGATCATTAACTGGACGGAGTGGTCGCTCTTGCCACTAACTGCGTCGAAACGATGGTAGCGGATTCCCGATTCTTGCTCCAGCCTCGCGAGCTGTGTCTTCATGAACTGATCCCGATCTGTCGCCTGCGCTAGATTGATGTAGTAGGCATCTGACACAACATCCACAAGCTTCGCCCTAGCCAAGGATGCGCACACGGCCAGGAAGCTGCCAAACATCGCTCGAATCATGATGGAAACGATGGCAAAGGCCCGTTGCAGATAGTATTGACCAGACGATGCTTTCTTATGTTGTGACTATGAGAATGCTTTTCCTTACGGACAATCATTATCATGCAACACCTTGACAATGCGATTTGCGGCGATGCGACTGCTTGGCGCGATGCCTGAAATCGTGTGAAGTGTTCGAGGCAACGTGACTTGCGACAGCTTAACAGCGGCAGGAGACAGGGTCGCATACTGAAGAACACTGGCTGGCTCCACTTCCATCGTTTGGCACGGTGTGTAATGCAGCGCACCCAGAACAATACAGCAACATGCAGCTGGCCGAAGCAGAGTTTTCCCGAGCAGTGCCTAACATGATTGGAGGACCATTCATCCATCGATCTAGGTTTCTACCTTGGTAGCCCAGTAACCATATTATAATAAGGGCACCCTTTTTTGACTAGCTTGTTTGTATAAGGGAGCCCGTAACCAAGAAAAAGGGCAAAAGGGTGCCACTGGGCTACCAAGGTACACTTGACAACCCGGATCCTGTCTGCGAAAACTGAGCGTCATTCCAACCCTCCTCGCTTTCAGTGGCTTCTCACCTCGATCTGGGCCACCATTGTCCGTACACGCCTGCAGTATGAAGTTTGGGTTTAGGGTTTAGGGTTTCCGGGTTTAGGGTTCAGGGCTTAGGATGTTGGTTTCATTAATGGTTCCAGCTTCACGTTTGGGCTCATCCTTCATTCAACCGGGCTCAGCCTTCATTCAACCGCGGGTCCTGAGGAGAAAAAGGGTTTAGGGTTTAGGGTTTAGGGTTGCAGGGATTGTCAATTGATTCGGGATGTCGATTACTGAATTAGGGCTTCAAAAGTGGCCTCAAACTTCAGGGCACTTTGTTCCTCGTCATACTACATGCGGATGCACAACTGAAGGTGCTCCGGTTGGAACGGCCTTGAACCCTTGCCAAACAACTGGCATGCTAAACCCTAAACCCTAAACCCTAAACCCTAAACCCTAAACCCTAAACCCTAAACCCTCATGCCGTGCTCTGCCGAACTCGTCTATGCTTGCTTAAACTTGGAATGCGTGACAATTCTTAGGGTTTAGGGTTTCGGGTTTCGGGCTTCGGGTTTAGGGCCTCAAACCGTTCAAAGGCGGCACACCGAACTCAGCAGGTGTTGAAATATGCCTGAGGCCGATCCGGTCAGAAAGATGCCTCACTAGGTTTAGGGTTTAGGGTCTAGGGTGCCATAGGTCATACGGGCCAGGCAAGGCCTGAGCAAGCCCAGAGCAAGATATGCGACCCGTCAACCCGTCCTCCAAGAAGCTTCTGTGAGTCAACAGTTGAGACTTGCATGATCAGGGTACCCTTCTTGGTTTCAGGGTTTAGGGTTTAGGGTTCAGGCTACTTTATAAGGGAACCTTGAACCAAACACACAACCAAAAGGGCACCACTGGGCTACTATGAAGATCTACGATCCTGGGCCCCTAGTGCGGCTGCCGAAGCAGCACTTCTCAAAGACCCCAATACCCCTTAATTCAGGAGTTTAGGGTTTAGGGTTTAGGGTTTAGAATATAATAGGATTCCTTATATGGTTTCAGGACTGTTCCTTAACTAAGGGGTATTGGAGTCTCTGGGAGGTTTATTTGGGCTGCGGCGAAGATGCAGCCCTTGCTGCAGAAATCTTCCCACACGCTTTAGGGTTTAGGGTTAAGGGTTTAGCGTGCAGACTCCGGTATAGAAGGCACGGAGTGGGGTATCCAGAGTGGATCCTTGCATTTCTTGAGGACTGGCTTTGATGCAGAATCGAAGGTCTACATGCTTTACTTTCTCGCCCTAAACCTTAAACCTTAAACCCTAAACCCTAAACCCTAAACCCTAAGATGATTGGGCGCTTGGGCCGAGAGGTCATTGGCGCATTGCATGTTCACAAGGCCAAGATCGCATGTCGCATGATGTCGTCATGAGCATGTGTTTTGCAGCATCCCAGGACTCCAATACTCCTTAATTAAGGGATGTTCCTTAAACAATAAATATAAGGAGCCCTTCTGTATTTTAAGGAATATTCCTTAATTCAGGGGTATTGGAGTCCCTAGTAACTGCCGCTTTGCTCTTATGGCAGAAGCAAGTCTGGGAAACACCTCCTCACACAAATTTCGCGAACAAAGTGCACTTTGTTTTGCGCAGCCTATATGGCCATGTGCATGTTCAGCTTGGTTGTGTTGTGGATATGAACGGGTCAGTGGTGTTCACGCGGCCCGTGCCTAAAACTACTGCATGTGGGTGACATGCGAGTGACTTGTCCACTTCTTTGTGGGCCTGCTAGCCTCTCAAAAACTCCGATTCCGCCTGGTGAACTCCATTTTCCCCCAAAAAACCTGTCAAGCCCTTTTCATACAATAAAACCTTTCAACCTTATCAGTGCGCGTGCAAACGGGGACCGCTAAGTGATTTCTGCCACTTGCCCCGCTTGCCCCACTTGCTGTGCTCCCTTACCGAAAACCACTTTGCCCCACTTGCCCCACTTGCCCCACTTGCCCTGCCTTAACCGCTAAGTGATTTCTGCCACTTGCCCCGCTTGCCCCGCTTGCCCCACTTGCCCCACTTGCCCCACTTGCCCCACTTGCCCACTCGCCCCCCTCCTACCCCAGCCCACCCTGCAAGTGGGGCGTGGGGCAAGCGGGGCAAGTGCGGCAAGTGGGGCAAGTGGGGCAAGTGGGGCAAGTGGGGCAAGTGGGGGCAAGTGGGGGCAAGTGGGGGCAAGTGGGGCACCCCCCCCCCCCCCCCCCCCCCCCCCCCCCCCCAAGCCACGCTCCCCTACCCGCCCCAGTGGGGTGGCTTAAATAGGGTCTATTTGGAAGCTGGACTCGGGTTTTCTTATAGCCATACACGTTTCCACGAGGGTACGCTGCTGTCACGTCAGTCGTACTATGGAGGCCTCAGGAACAAGAACCAGGTAGTTCCTCTTTTCTCTTCTCTTTTTCTCTTCAATCCTAAAGTCGAAGGCTCTCGTGAGGAGAAGAGAAGGGAGAGAAGGAGGGAAAGATAAGAGGAACACGATTTTCATGGGAAGAGCCAAGAAAAGAATAGAAGAGAGATAAAACAAGGCGCAAATAAGATGGTACTCTTCTTTATCTTCCCTCTGTCTTTTCGAAATGAGAAAAACAAAAAGAAAGATGAAAAGAAGAAGGGTTAGGAAAAGAGCCGAAGAGATAGGCCGAAAAGAGGGGTATGGTGAAGTGCGGCAAAGGTCCACGCACAAGGAGTCACCTTCTGCTTACCCTTCCACTGCTTGATTTTACAAGCTCCTTTCTTGTGTTTTATCAGTTAAAATTAAAAGGAAACAGAAGGAGAGAAGGGAAAGGGAAGTGAGAGAGGAGAGACAACAAGGAGGCCATTTTAATTTCCTGTGAGTTATCAAAAGGAATGCAATATTATGGGAAGAGCAATGGAAAAAAGAGTGGAAGAGAAATTAAGACAGGAGAGGGAGGTGCAAAAATAAGGCAAAGAGAAGATGGTGCCGTTTTCATCTCACCTCTCGTTCTTATCTTCCTCTTCTCTGGTTCTTTTCCATGTGAAATAAAAAAACAAAAGGAAGGACAATGAACATATAAAGGAACCCGTTTTCGTTTTCCGTTTGGGCACAAGGAAAAAAACAGAGGCGATAGGGCGAGAGGAGGGGTTTGCTGAAGCATGGGGAGGGTGTACGGGCAAGGGGCCAACTCCGCCCACTTCCCCCATCCATTGAAAGAGGAAAAGGAACAGGGCCTCCATTCCCCTCTTATTCTTCCTTTCTTGCGTTTTTGTCGTTTAGAAGGGAACAGGAGAAGAGGAGGGAGAGAGAAGGAGAGAGGAGACATAAAAAGGGTTGCATTTTTAATGGGAAGAGAAAAGAAAAGACCAGAAGAGAGATGATGGGAGAAGAGGGGGAGACAAAACAAGGCGCACAGAAAATGGGCAGATAAGAAGAGAGGAAAGGGAATGACCAAGTACAATGAGGAGTTCTTCAACTTCCCTCCCTATCTCTTATGTTACTTTTCCTTCTTGTGGGGTGTCCCTTTTTCTCTTGAAGATGCAGAAAACGATTGAAAAGGACACCCGTTCCATCGCCCATATGTAGGGAAAAAGAGAGAGAATCATGAGCATCAGCTGGGCTTGCTGCCAATCCAACATGGGCGTCCCTTTTAATCGCATTCTGTGTCCTTTTTTCTCGCTTGAAGATGCAGAAAACGATCCAAAAGCACATCTGTTGGAGGAAGAGAGAAGGAGAGAGGAGAGATACCAAGGATTGCATATGTAATGGGAAGAGCAAGGAAGAGAATAGAAGACAGATGAATAGAGAAGAGGGAGAGACAAAACAAGGCGCAGAGAAGATGGCACTCTTCTTTATCTATTCTCTCTCACTTGTTTCTCCCTTCCCTCTTTCTTTTCGAAATGAGAAAAACAAAAAGGAAGAACTATGAGAAGGAGAAGAGTAAGGAAAGGAACAGAAGAGATAGGCCGAGAGGATGAATATGATGGAGTACTATGGAAAGGCTCACGCGCAAGGAGTCACCCTCTGCTTACCTTTTCACTGCTTTATCATATGAGTTCCTTTCTTGTGTTTTATCAGTTAAAAGGAAGCGGAAGAAGAGAAGGGAAAGGGAAGTGAGAGAGGAAAGATAACAAGGATGATATGTTTCCCGAAGCGTGCTGCAAGGAATAGAAGAGACAGGAAGCAAGGAGACGGAATCACAAAATAAGGCGCAAAGCTGTACATATCATCTCTCCCTTGTCTCTCCCTATTCCCTTTCGAACTAGAAAAAACCATTCTTGCTTTTCACAGATAGGTTCCCTCTCTCCTCTTCAGGAAATCCCCTTTCCCTTATGTTGCTTTTTGAAGCGAATAAGAAAAATAGCAGATAAGAAGAGAGGAAAGGGTCAATTTCCCTCCCTATCTCTTATGTTGCTTTTCCTTCTTGTGGGGTGTCCCTGTTTCTCTTGAAGACGCAGAAAACGATTGAAAAGGACACCCGTTCCATCG